GGCGAGAGGCGGCGGTGGCGGCGGCGAAAGAGGAGGGGAGGACGGGGGCGGCGTCGGACTGGAGCCGATCGGCGGTGCGAGCTGCCCGGGGCGCAGTCGTGAGCTCGCCCGCCGGGCCCCCACCCCTAAGCTACACCCTGCCGTGCCCAGCTCTGCCCGCGTCCGTGCCCCCGCGGGGAGCGCGCCGGGGCTGCCCCCCGAATGACGGGCGGAAGGTTCGACTTCGACGATGGCGGCACCTACTGCGGCGGCTGGGAGGAGGGCAAGGCGCACGGGCATGGCATCTGCACGGGGCCCAAGGGCCAGGGCGAGTACTCTGGCTCCTGGTCGCACGGCTTCGAGGTGGTCGGAGGCTACACCTGGCCCAGCGGCAACACCTACCAGGGCTACTGGGCGCAGGGCAAGCGGCACGGGCTGGGGGTGGAGACGAAGGGCAAGTGGATGTACCGGGGGGAGTGGTCACATGGTTTCAAGGGGCGCTACGGGGTCCGGCAGAGCCTGTGCACCCCCGCCCGCTACGAGGGTACCTGGAGTAACGGGCTGCAGGACGGGTACGGCGTGGAGACCTACGGGGACGGAGGTGAGCGACGTCGCGGGCGGTTCCGCGGGCTAGCGCGGTGGACTCTCCCGGGCTGCGGGGACGTGGGGAGGACGCGAGGCGCATGTGTCCGGAAACCCGCCAAAACACCTGGGGAGGTTCCCACCCCTCCCACTCCCATCCCCCGGGAAGAGTGCGTGGGTACCCGACTGGGGCTCGAGGGGTCTGCTCCGACCCGGTTCCCCGGGCGAGCGGGGTGTCCGCACCCGGAGAGTTAGGCGTGCTTGTACCTGGCGGGGGCCAGCGCCGCGCTGCCACCGGGAGGGTTGGGCAGGAGAGAGGACGCTGTCACTTGAGCCCGTCACATTACGTTCCTGATCCCTCCCTCTCCGGGCCGGGTTTGAAATCGCCACTCCGGTGGAGTTAGACGCACGCCTTGGGCTGCGCGGCTGCCGGTCGGTGCTGACCGCCCCGCGGTTTGGTTTCACGTGGAGTCTCGTATTTCGCTTCTGGTCCTCTTGTTAGCCTAAAGATAGAAGCCAGAACCCCTTAAGTAGGATATTGGGGAGTTGGACCTTATTAAGGGTGTATTTTGAAGCGTCCTAGTTATGGGCACCGGAGAGACCACCCGGAGCAGGTGAAATTCCTAATTTTCTCCTTAAGTTTCACTTGGCTCCTTAAAGTACTTTGAATCAGCAGAACTGTAATCTTTGCTGTCCTGGAGATCTTTGGGCAAATCGCTGGGAAAAGACTTTAGGAAAAAGCGATGGAGTTGCCATTAAAAAAGAAAAAAGTTAAAAAGAATGTAGAGAATGCTATATCCCTGATAGACACTAAAGGGCGTGGCCTAGACGTACCTGGATGCGATTTAACAGCGTTTGCCATATAATCTGTATACATTATAGGACAGGGTTCACTTTTCTCCCCAGGAAGAGCATACATTAGTGAAACAGGTGTCGAAACTTGATTAATTTCTTTGAAAACAAAGCCGAGGGAGACGAATGGGTTATGCTTTGGCAAAGTACATTTTCTGATAATAAACATAATCATATTTAATTGAAAAGGATTGCAGGAGGCTATGTCACCTTTGGAATTAAGCCGCTTCAGAGTTGGAGGATATTAAAGGGATCCAATTAAAAGTTTCTCCAGCCCACTGCAATCCCGTTATGTGATTGCTTACATAAAAGCTTATACAATTTGTACACTTCACTTGCTCAGAACACTTGGGCCGTGTTTCAAATGCAAAACAGCAGAATGGTAGGATTTGTTTTTTTTAAAAAGACATCATTTTACCCTACAATATAAATAAAGGCTATGGTTCTCGTGGATTAAAGTGGGGGGGGGACCTTAATACTTTTCTATAGGCCGAGTCCTGAGTGCCATGGTAGTTAACAGGGAGCCTTAAATGTTCAGAACCAGCAGAAAATACCTCGGTTGACAGCCTTATGAATGTTTGCCTGTAACTGGATTTTATTTTAAGCCCTAGCTCTGATATAACAAAATACTGTGCTCAACAATGGAAAATGTGTTGTTTTTTAATGTGAACCTGTATAGCCCTCATTTTAAAGATTATTAATTACAATGTAGGCTTCTTTTTAAAAGTTAAAACTCATTAGATGAAACCTGGTGATTTACAGTATTCGTAATGCCTAGTAATCAAAACGTACAGAGCCCAGTAAAAGCGGTCTGTGTGCTTGTGTTGTTTATAGAAGGCCAAATACACCTCCAATGACTATTAATAATCTGCCTTCTGTTTAGACCAACTTTGAAAGTTTAAAAAGACAAAATTTGGCATCATGATAACACTGGGTTTCTTTTTCTACCAAACCGAAACAACAACAACAAAAACTGGTGTGCTGTAATCAGAAAAAAAAATTAAACATGCAGATCACTTTTAAATGCCGACTGTGTCCTAGTCAATTACCTGGTTTTTCTTATGTCACTACATTTCATTAGAAAGTCCATAATTTTAATAATTGGCCTAAACGGAGCTATATTGCTACAATTTAATTCATACAGAGGTTTTAGCCCAACTGGGAGTATCAGCTTCTATATTTCCAGGAGTTAACTTAATTCTGCCTCCATTCCCATGTATTTCTGGTGACAGAGAAGGAAGTGGTAATTCCATGTGAGAAGTATCACTTTATTTCACTAGAGATTTCTGTGTAAAGTGTTGCTGAAATAAAAACTTCCTAAATATTAAGAACTAAATGCATCATATTCATGAAATCCAAGTCTAGATTCTCAGATTCTTTTGTAAAAATTCTGATATGCTATACTTTTTCTAACCTGCTATAGAACTATGGGAGATATCTAGAAAGACTATATTTATGCATTTGAGGTCACTTGTAGCCCAGTCTAGCTTCATGCTGAGGATGACCTTGAACTATAAGCATTCTTCCTCTACCTCTCCAGGACCAGGTGGGGATGGAATCCAGGCTTCGGTCATGCCCAACAAACACACTACCAACAGAACTACATCTTCAACCTCACCCATGTGTTTTTATTTTCCTTTTTTAAATATAATTATTGTCGCATATAGCCTTTCAAAGCATATACTGAAGTTTGGCACACAGCAGCCCAAGTTTGACTAAAATTCATTCCAATCTGGATGCCATTTATTACAATATTGTGCAGTTAAGATGGACAGATCTTTCAAAATCAGCTCCCAAGTGAACGCAACTTAAAACAAAACCTGAAAAAATATCATTTGTTTTCATGTTAAATATGCACTGGAATTTAGGGATGGAGATTAGTAAATCACAGCTCCTTTTGAACAAAAGAACTTAGAGACCACCTGCTTCATAAAGAAATAGATTCTGCTTTCCAGGTTCATTGACTAAACCAAACCTCTTTAAAAACTTCAGATCAGCTACTTAGAATCTGAACAAACTGGTTTCTAGTGGATGTCCTGGAGGAATTCTCTCCGATACTGTGATATTATAACTACACAGAAGGGAAGGTGACTGATACCTTTGTTCCCGGCCCCTGCCCTATTTGATGGTTCCAAAGCTATTTAAACTTTCTCATTATTGCTGTTCTTTAAACAGCCTGAATTTGGAAGCAGACCCTTGGAAAGTCTAAATACTGGTTTATGTTGGAGCTGTCATTTGGAGGGAAGTGGCCATTAGTTTTCCATCAGTGTTGAGGATCTACAAAGATGGAATGATTGTGTTTTAAAAACATAAATACTTACACCACATAGCATCTTTACAAATCATTTTAGCAGACTTATTCTGTAGAAAAGTTAGAATGATATAGAATATTGGCATTTTAACAGAGGAAATGTTAAATACGGTAGTTTGTTTTAGTGTGTGTATAAAGCTGTATAACTTTCATCCTACTATTTAGATTTTATCTAGGAAAAGTCAAAGTTGAAAGTTTCTAATAATTCGTTGTCTTTTCCTGTGGGGGCAGCAGTGTTTGGAGATAGCTCTTATTCAGTAGGAAGCTCATTGTCATGGGGGGGGGGGACCCACCAACCTTTTTTAGACAGGGTCCAGCTGTGTAGCCCAGACTGACCTGGAACACATGAACCTCCTACCTCAGCCTTCCAAGCGCTGGCACTGCCAGCATGTGTTCCCATACCCCGCTTCTGAAGTGGTTGTATATAACAGTCTTACCCTGTTTTGAGAGCTGTGCCCCCACTCCCTCAGAAGTTCATAGGCATGAAGTTCAGACTTCACGTCTACTTAAACTATGGCAGTCTTAGTACCAGACCCCTGAGTATCTCATTGTTGCCCTGCTGTTGAAGGTTTATATGATGTAAATACGTCAGCATGAGAAGAAAGAAAAGATGGTCTTGAAATCGGTCCGAACCTTTGACTGGGGAACAGTTCCTATTTACACAGTGATACAAAACCACCAGCTCGGACAAGCGTGGTAACTTGCCCTGCGCTTGTAATCCCTGCATTTAGGAGGCCAAGGCAGGAGAATTGAGAGTTCTAGGCCAACCTGAACTACATACTAAGACACATCGTAAGAAATAACAGTACCCCAAATGAAATTATCACTTGTTGCATTAAAAAAAATAAATGTATCCCAATCACTGGAAAACTGCAAGGTTATGTAAAATACAAAGTATAATCAGAAACAGAACAAGATCAACACAGACTATAATCATGATTTATTTTCTGTGACATTGGGAATTATGAATAACACCAAAGTAATTACATTTAAAATTTCTTCCAGATAGCTGTTCTGGGGTCATACTAAGGATGCAAAATTTGCCTTTAATTAAAGGAAATGGCCTTGACTTTGAAAATTCTAAGCTCCTTAATTTACCCTTCATTTCCTCCAAAGAGTATTTAAAAACCCCTACCAGGTTATTTTTTAAACTTATCTTTGGTTATTAAATAGAAAAACTCATTGAAAATATTTTTACAGCTTATTCCTTTTTGTATTTATATTCCTATTATGCTATATGTATTTATATTCTTATTACACTTTTTAAAGTATAATACTCATTGAAAAAGTGGTCTGGATCAATAAAATTTTAATGGACACTGTCAAGTATTCCTCAAAGATTCTTTAAAAGTTTCTTTCATCCCATCAGTTCTTTCAAGCTCTGTAAACATAGTCTCCAGACAGCCAGAGACCACATGACGCATTAGCCATGAATGAGTTTGAAACATTTGCCTTCCTTTGAGAATCATTTCTTGCCCTCAGGTATTTGCAGTATGTGGTGAGACTGTCAATGCTTTGGCAGAGACTAGGGAGATCCATACAGAGAATGGCCAGGAGAAAACAGATTTAGCAAGTAATATGCTACTGTGCACATACACCCCACCCCACCCCACCCTCACACACTCCTATCAATACTCAGGACTCAACAGCTTGCCCCTCCCTGAGCGGAGGATGTTTCACATAGTAGAAAAGCCAAGACAGCTTGTTAGACAACCCATGTCCCAAGTATTGTGAGCACTGTTACTAATGTTAAATCTTTGTGCTTTAGAATGGGCATAGATCTCAAAGCCATTTTTCAACTAGATTAGTAAAACTGCATTTGAAACCATGACTAGAATACATATTTTTTCTGCTGTGACACTGCCTCACTAAGGTCTTTGATGCTTTCAGGATGGAAAAGGTGATTTCCAATGATCACTTTTTTTGTATTAGGGGCAATATGGTTCATGGCCCTGGGTGTGTAGCGCACTGATGGAGCATTAGCCTAGTATGTATAAGGTCTTAGGTTCAATTTCCGGAGAAATGCGCACACCAAACAGTGGTTTCTTTGCATGCCTACCACTCATAAAATTTTTAAATGAAAAACAGAAGTCTGGCTATCAGAAAAGTTTATACATCAAAGTCATTAAGAGTCAAAGTTACCAGATAGACATTCACAGGCGGATGAAAAGTGTTACCAGGGTTGCCCCAAGAAGTGTGTTGAATTTGACCCTGGCTCTTCCTGCCCAGGGTATGTTCTCTCGGTGGCCAGATGCCCTCCCCCAAAACTCATACACTCTGCCGATCTGCTCTCTCGAAGGTACCTACCAGGGCCAGTGGGCTGGAGGCATGCGGCACGGCTACGGCGTGCGCCAGAGCGTGCCATATGGCATGGCCACGGTGATCCGCTCCCCGCTCCGCACCTCGCTGGCCTCACTGCGCAGTGAGCAGAGCAATGGTAGCGTTCTGCACGATGCTGCTGCCGCTGCTGCAGACAACCCAGCTGGCACCAGAGGCGGCTTCGTGCTCAACTTCCACGCGGACACGGAGCTGGGCAAGAAGAAGGGCGGCCTCTTTCGACGGGGGTCCCTCCTTGGCAGCATGAAACTCCGCAAGTCCGAATCCAAGTCTTCCATCTCCAGCAAGCGCAGCTCGGTCCGCAGCGATGCAGCCATGAGCAGAATCAGTTCCAGTGATGCCAACTCCACCATCAGCTTCGGTGACGTCGACTGTGATTTTTGCCCTGTGGAAGATCATGTGGATGCCACCACCACGGAAACCTACATGGGCGAGTGGAAGAATGATAAGCGCAATGGCTTCGGTGTCAGCGAGCGCTCCAATGGCATGAAGTACGAAGGCGAGTGGGCCAATAACAAGAGGCATGGGTACGGCTGCACCGTGTTTCCCGATGGCTCCAAGGAAGAGGGAAAGTACAAAAATAATATCCTAGTCCGTGGAATAAGGAAGCAGCTTATACCAATAAGAAATACAAAAACTAGGGAGAAGGTGGATAGAGCGATTGAAGGCGCGCAAAGGGCTGCCGCCATGGCCAGAACCAAGGTGGAAATAGCAAACTCAAGGTATGTAAATACAGGGTGGGTGGTTTGCCTTAAGGCAGTGAAGGAGGTTCTTCAGAACACTGCAGTTTTCTCTCTGTCTGCTGATGGTATCGCCAAATAGGTTCCCAGTACACTTAGAGGGGGAAAAAAAAGACTAAAAATGATTGACTCCGACAAAAATGGAAGTGAGAAACCATTTTCAAAACCTTTAGAAGGCACATGGGACAAGCTTTTTCTTCTAAATTATGCCCCTAGTATTTAACAACCTGATGGAGTTCATTCAGACATCCTTCTAAGTCCAGAAAGTTAATATTTTTAAAAGTGCCTCTGAAATACTGTCACTACTTTGTGTGTTAAAAAGAAAATATCCCTTTGTGTAGAAACCTACAATATAAATTATGAACCTTTATTACAATATTAAGTTGAACATATTTACAACTTCCCAATAAGTTATAGTATTCTAGCTTATGGAGTCAAAATTCTGTCCACTGAGGCTTTCTAGGTGAAATCAGCTTTGAGAAAGACACAGAGGTCTAGGCGAAGCAAAGGCAGTGACAGGATGAAATCTAGCGTGCATTGTTCAAAAAGCTAGAGATCCTCCACAGGAACAGACCAGGGTGCCAAGGCTGGGAAGGAGAGATTAGATCACTGGGGTATTAAAAGGAAGGGGTGGAGAGAGCTTGAGGTGGACAGATGGGATTCTTACCGTGCCAGGGTTGGAAGAAAAGTGGAACATTCGAGAGGAGGGCTGGCAGAAGCAGGAGAAAATGGGTCCGTGAGAGATTGACAAAGGGATGCGTATGGGCACGGGGGAGTTCTGAGGTTTTACTCTAGAAACTAAGCTCCGTGGTTCAGCATGAGGGATGGGGACACCTGTTAGGGATAGAGTTTTATTAAGGATAGGCACCATCTGTTAGACAGGGCTGGTTTTGCTTGGGGGTTTTAGTTTTAGGGGTTAAGGACTGGCCATAGTTATGTGTGACTTCGGGCATGAATTTGGCATAGAATACTTAAATCCTGTGTCTGCTTCAGTAATACTCACCTGCCCGAGTAAATCTTCCTCTGAAACCACAAAATACTAGCACGCCTTTGGGTTTTTATTCTTAGTACTGAATCAGTGAGTAACCCCACCCCTTTAGGTTGGTCCATAGGAAATTTACAGTACTTGAACATTTTTTTAAAGATTTATTATTTATGTGTAGGTGCCTGCGGAGGTCATATTTCCACACGCTGGGTCCCCTCAAGGTCAGAAGAGGAAGTCTGGTTCCCTGGAGCTGGAGTGATAGGGTGGGTGCTAGGAACCAAACCCTGGTCCTCCACAAGAGTAGCACTGGCTCTCAACCACTGAGCCATTTCCCCAGCCCCAGTGTTTGAACTTTTAATACACAAAAGGTGGTAACTTCATAACTGTCCAATTTAATACTTCAAGAATTCTAGATTCATTTTGTTTTTGTTGAGTGCTCCTGTTTTAGTGCTGTTGTGTGTGAAGCAGTAATTGGAAAGTGAGAAGGGTCACTTTTTTGTATTTTAGCCCTCAGTTTTCCTCGACCCAAGCTTCCATGCAGGATTTCTCCTGCCCTCTTTCCCAAGCAGCCTCTGGTATAACAGTTTTCTTTGCTAAGCGCTAGGTCTGCATGCATTTCAGGGTACTTGGCTCATGTAGTCTCACTGGCTTTCCTGGCCCTCAGCTCCCTTTGAGAGCTGACGCTGCATCCTTTGCTTGCTAGGCCCCAGTCTCTAATTTTAAATGCACTCCTGGAATCTTCCATTCCATGCTCTTCTTACAAGTTAGTGACACACTACAGGCAAGTTCAGAATTAGTGGGGAAATAAACCCGTGCAGGACACTCTTACAAGTGACATATTCTAACTATTTGTTTAAATGAGAGGAAACCACCTCACTGAAGGGCATACTTGTGGCTCGGAGACAATCTCTGGTTATACTAGCATCATCAAACGTTTTCCCAAATCAGAGCCATATTCTTTGGACAGAGTAGCATGTGGTTTGGGGACATTGTGTCATATGTGAATATATTGTGTCACAGTCAATCATAGTTAATAGTCCAGACATCTTCAGACCTTAGGCTTTCAGCAGCTGAGATTTCATTAAGCAACTGAAAAATACTCAATGCATTATGCTAAGTGAAATAAACTAACGACAGGATATATTTGGTCCTTCTTAAATGGGTCATCTAAAATGGCCAAACTAAAAAGCAGAGAGCAAGATGGCAGCTGTCAGGGAATAGGTGGCCTGAGTAGTCCCTGCCTGTGGGTTTGCAATCAAGGAAGTATGAAATGTGTAAGTCTGAGAGATCCGTGCAGCACCGTGCCTGTAGTTCACAGTATTGGACTGTGCGTTTCATTTGTTTTCAAGGGGGCTGGAGTTGTGTGAGGTGGTTTTGTTTTTCCACAACATGAAGTTAGTATTCAGATGACAAAACAGACAAAAAAATTAAAACTAAAAACACTCAGCTAAACTGCCATGCCTTCTTTCCCAGTGCCCCTGATGCAATAGATATTTTAATATAGTTTTGACTTGAGTTTTGCAGAAAGGAGCTGATGGACTGACATTGCCCATGAAACAGTTGAGTTTAGAGTTCGTGCTGTGAGTAGATATTAAACATCACAGGGTGAATACACAATGTGTAGATAGATGGCTTACCAGCAGATTAGTCCTTTAAAAAGTCAAAATTAAAGCCTGGGAGAACACTCAGTGGGTAAAGGAATTGACCACTAAGCCAGATGACCTGAGTATGATCCCTCAGACCTACACAGGGAAAGGAAAGAACTGACTTTTGCAGGCTGTCTTCTGTTCAGACACATGCCTACATGTGCACACATAGGTAAATGAAATAAAACTATAAGGGATCCTGATAATTTGTTGACCCATAGAACTTTTCCTTGGGTTTCTGCTCTGATTCAAGAAGTATTATGAAAAGTGACATTTTTTTTCTCCCCTTCTTGTCTTGACTGGCGTAAAATTCATCATCAGTGACTAACATGGGTCTCAGCTTTGTTGCTTAAGAAACCTTAGGAGAGCAGCTGTGGTTATTTCAAGAAGGAAGCATGCCTGGCCACCCCTAAGCTTCCATGCCAATGGCTGGCCTCAGCCTCCTGCTATGTAGATGGCATACTCTCTGGGAGACTTTCAAACCAGGTAGAATATACCAACACCTCAACCCAGGCCCCCTGTCTTTCCTTGACCCGTGTTTACCCTTTGATGGGACCTGACCAGCTGGACTCACTTTTAGACTCACTGAAGTATTTAGAGCATTATACCTAAGAATGGATCCCTTGTAACATTGTGCTTGCTTAATAGAAATCAGTTTTGGTAAAGAAGACCAAAGGGCACAGCTCCAGAACTTGAATGGCTGTGAGATATGATCTGATACACTCCCTTCATATTCAGAGGTAGAAATGAGGCTCTATCCAAGATTTCCTATTGACCATGTAATTGACCTGCCACCCACACTCAGTGACCATTATCTTACCTCTTTCTCCAACAGTTCCTTCAGTCACCTTTCTCCTTTAAATGTTGTTTCTCATTCAGTCACCATTTACTCCATTGTGGCTTCAATGATTCCTTAGGTAAGATGTTCAAGGAGACTCCTACTACTTGGCAAAAATATTGTAAAGAAGAGAAAGCATTTGGTTGAAAGAGCAAGTGAGAAGTGATCCTTACATTTGGCTCCCCATGGCCAGCTCTTGAGTCCTCATTCAGATGTCAGTATATGTCCACAAGGAAGGTACATAGGACCCCATTCTGTCCACTCCATTCCACCCTCCTCAGTATAGATTAAGTTAATCTAGTTGCCAATTCATGGCAGGCGTATGCTGACTCTCTCTTCCCAGCTGGATTGGGAGGAGCTGACCCTCCTGGTGGCTCTGTTCCCTTTTGTGTCCCCAGCATGATCTTTGATTGGGTGATAGTCACTGGATAGTGAATTAAATTCTCATCACTCGAGGTTTGAATACTGCCAGGGCTTCAGATGGTTTTGCACTGCATTTATGAACCATAGTTTGAAGGAAGAAAATGTAGTGCTAATAATTTGTTGTGGCATAATTTGATAGTCAAGGAAGTATAGAAAATGCAGAAGTGAGTATCACAGGTACCCCTCTTCCTCATGAAACCAACAGGGCTAGGGGTACAACTAGGGGACAGAGCTGTAAGTTGACAAGGTGTCTCCATTCTCAGTGGGAGTTGAACGGGTCCAATAATAAACAGTAATTCCTGTACAGATTAGGAACCTCCAGGAATTCATTCCATAATTATTATAATAACATTGATTCATTCTGTGCATTTGACAGCAATGAAGTATGAGTGAGCCAGAGCAAGAGAGCCTATTGTCTCCTAAGAGTCAAAGGTTCCTGGATATTCAGCTGTCTTTATTTTATTTTATTTTTTCTGAAAGTTTCTCTTGTTCTGCCTCTTTCTCAGGGCCGTTTTCTTAAACTGAATCAATAACTGAACCTAACATAGGAAGTTGGCTAGGATAGATAGATCAGTCCTTTATAAAAATACTTCATTTAATTCACACTTCATTTGTGGGTAATTAAAATCCAAAGTCCCCTGTGAGTCAATGCATGCTATGGATCCAAAATAAACTGATTACTACTGATTTTATCTGGGGGAGGAGATTGAGATGAGAGGATTCCTCATTCTATGCTGAGCTGTGGAAAGTCAAGTCATTGAAATTCTCAAATTCTATTAGAAGAAGAATATTCTTTCTCTTGAGAGTCAAAATGAAAAGTTTGTATTCTGCTTATTGGCTTTTTCTGCTGTTTTAGTGGCTTTTGTTTACTTAGTGTTATTGAGACAGCCTTGCTGCTGTCTTGCCCACACAGGACTTAAACTAGTAATCCTCCTGTCTCAGCCTGCAGAATCTTGGCATGACAGGCTACACAGTCTCATGTCGTATTTTTAAGTAATTTTAAAAGCAATTTCATGTTACTTTTTATATGAGTTTTTGTTGTTGCTGTTATTCTACCACTGGGGGGATCTAGTCAGTTCTTAGGTGTGAG